AGGCAGTAGTTTGGATCATCTACCTTCCCTACTTCTTCAGGCTTTTTTACTTTAGGAAGTTTTAGCTTGCCACTCTTCTGAAGTAGCTTGAATAGAGAGACCACATGCTCCTCTATGAAGGAGTATTGCTTAGGTACTCTTAGCTGACCTGACGCTTTACCCTTGGCAGGTGATGGTCGAGTATTAGCTTCTGTAGTCATAATATCTTTCCCTTTTGACCAGGAGGATTGGGCTTGGCCCCACTTCTGGATACATCCCACAGGCAGTTTCATGAACAATTTAAAGGCAACCCCTTAAGGGTGCTAATGAACAAATGAGTCAATATTGTATCGTTTGATATCACATTTCCAATCTGCGACTTGAAATAATAGATATGTTGGTTCGGTGATCCTGTGCTGTCAAAAGCTTGTAGAGTCGGAACTTTGAATTTTGGAGAATAAGAGGTTGTATCCCCATTCAGGTGGATAGGGCCTAACAACTCCCTCATTTTGGAGCTCGCTTCTATTGGCAATAACATTAAGGTGGGCTTCCAGTTCTTTTATTTTCGCAGACTAGAGATTCTGCTCATTTTTTGTCTCTCTTCCTTCTTCAGAGAAAAGTTACAGGTTGTGGGCTTCTTGATCAGAAGTCACTCTCAATCACTTTTTCCTTCCCTTTGATGTAAATGGTAGGGATGAAGATGATCCTCCTCTTCGGGAAGATTCATGTCATGGCAGTGAACCTGTCTTCTGGGATTTGGCCATGTTTGTGACAATTTGAGTCATCAGGATCCGGAGTTCATTGATAGTCTCCTGCTGAGACTTGATCATAGTTTGCTGCTCATCAAGTCTTTTCATAAGATCATCAGGGTTTCCTGCCATATAACCGAAGCTCTCGTGTTCTACGAAAGAGCTAGAGGATTGAGATTCTGTGATGGCTGAGTGTTCATCATCAGACTCAATTCATTTATCCAACTTCCGGTAGTTGACAGGAGGTATGACTCCCTTTTTAGTCCGAGTGTGTTGATAGATTCCATCAGACTCACTCAACCCTTTCAAGCTAGGGGATCGATCAATCTCTGACCTATCGGAGCTAGGGTTTGATGATCTCCCTATACTCACCATGTTAGAAGTGACTCCAAAGTACTCTTCTTCCGAAGTCGTCTTCTTATGGGAACGTCGTCGCTTGTACAGGATTGCCAAGGCGACGTTCGTCAGTCGGCTGAATACTAATGGCCTAGTTACAGGTGCACAACATCAGCATTCTAAAAGGTCTGCAGAGATAAGTCACTCGTATTGGCAGACATGAGTGACTTGTTGGACAGCTCCGTCTCTTGATAGGAACTCTCTCAAATCTATTGCAGAGACTTGAGATGAGTTACTCACAATTCGTGAGGTTTTTCTTTGAACCCCCGGTCTTTGGCTGAACGAGACTGGTTCTTGATGGATATAGATTTGAAGTCCACGTCGGTCATCCTGAAAGCGACTTGACACATCGCGTTTAGTATTAATAACGCAAGAGCCGCTTTTTAACACTGAAACGTGAGGGTCGCGTTTAGGTAACTGAACGCGAGGGTCGCGTTTGAGAGCGGGGATGCGAGGGTTGCGTACAATGTCCCTTTGAACGCGAGGTTCGTGTTTTGATTGAGCAACGTAAAGCTGAGACTCGCGTTCAACACGGACTTGAGGTCCGCATTTTAGCTGTGGAACGCGACTTTGAGGGTCGCGTTCAGTCAACCTTTTCGTGAGGTTCGCGTTTGGGCACGTAAATGCAAGGCTCGTGTTCTAGAGTAGAAACGCGAAGCTCAGGGTCACGTTGAGGCTCACAAACACAAAGTTCTCGTTGGTTGGTTGATCGGCTTTTTCTAAGCTGTGCTCGTTGTAGGGATCTTCTCCTTCGGCGAGCAGCGTTCTTCTTCGTCTGAGGTGAGGCTTTTGCAATGATGTCGTTATCTGTATTGATCAGGTTAGTCGCAACAACGGGTCTCTTGTGATCTGATACCTTTTTCTGAGGTACGGGTGGAAGGTCCTCAACTCGCTTGGCGAGTTCGGCTGAATTAAAGTATTCTCTTTCAGAGGGGGTACTGTATGAACAGTATGACCCTAAGGAAAGACACTCCTTTGGTGAGTCGACAGGAGGAATCTTAGTCTCCTTGGAGACTTTGTGAATCTTACGCATAATCTTGGGGCTAAGGGATCCGGTTGAAAGGAGTTCCTCGTACTTACTTTGGTCGAACTTCACAATAAGAGTTTTTAACAGTCATTCTGACGAGCTTGGTGTCAGATTGCGCCATCACTTCTTCATCGGTAAAAAATTTAGTCTCCAGCAGAGTCGTCATCTTTTGTTTACGAGAAAAATTACAAGAAAATTGAGAAATCAATTAGTATTATCTCCCTAACTGACTTATGAAAAGAATGAATACAATCTCTCAAAGTAATCTCTCTCTAACTGACTTAGAAAAAAATTACAATTTCCTTATCGGTTTCCTGATTTACAAAAGAGAGAAGAATCGACGAGGATCCTTCCCTTTATTTAATACTAGGTTCTTCTTAGTTCTTAGTGGTGATGAGAGTTTGATTCTTATATCCCGTTGACGATCCGAACGCCTCGTTTCGTGGAACTTTGTCTACTCTTCTTGACTTAACGTCGGGAAGAACTTGTCAGGCAAGTTTAGAACTCTAAACGAATTTGAGAACTCTGTAAAAGAGTTAATTTCAGAAAGGAAATTTAATCATTTTTTAACCGAAATAAGCTAAACAACCGATCTTAAAGATCTTCAACCAAAGATGGTTTAAAAAGCCAAGCTAAATGATCTCAAAAGCTCCAACAAAAGCTAACCCAAATGATCCAAAAAAGGATCTGTATTCAGCTGAATTCTCAGTTATATATAAAGATCTAGGGGTGTAACTGACCACATAAATCTCTCCATAATGGGGGCTTAATGGCCCCATTATGTGGAAAACTGTTCAAATTATAATTGAAACGATCAAACGCGATATTCGCGTTCGGGAGCAAGTCTCGCGTTCAGCTTTGTGAAACGCGGAGGTGATCCTCACGTTTTGGAGTTAAAACACAAGAATGACCATCGCGTTTTGGAATTGGAACGCGAGGGTGACCCTCACATTTTGGAGTTAAATGCGGGGATAACCTTCGTGTTTTGGAATTGGAATGCGGGGGTGACCCTCGCATTTTGGAATTGGAACGCGGGGGTGGACCCTCGCGTTTTGGAGTTAGAACACGGGGGTGGACCCCTCGCGTTTTTCTTTAAAGATATCGTTAATTGTAATCTTTTTTTAAGTTCTGTAAAGATCGTCATTTTGTAATCTTTGTATTTGGTTTTTTAAAGTATGAGAGTCGTCAAATTGTAACTCTCGTCTGTTGTCGTGAAAGCCGTCAAATTGTAACTTTCATCGCCAACACTTTGTGAGAATTAGCTATCTGCAGTAATTTTTTGACAACCTAAAAAAAATCTTAAAGTTAAAGAGAGTTTTCTAATAACCCTTAGACCTAAGAGAGGTTTCCTGATATTTTTGAAAGTTAAGAAGGGTTTTCTGATAATTGTCCAAATTTAAGGAGGGTTTTATGATATTTAGCCTTAAAAAATATTTTTGTTTCTCTACAAAACATATTTCTAATACTTTCTTAAATTCTAACGTGGCATTCCTCCTTAAAAAAAAATTCCTCCCCTCTAAACCCAGAAGCAGTGGAAAGACATGCATGAATCTATGAAAAATTTAAATGTCTTTTTCACCGTTCGCTTATAATTCTGAAATCTAAACAAAAAAATTTATTTTTTTCCTCCCCTTTGAAATCGAATGAACATGGTGACTGAAAGCAGCTGAGAAAAAAATTTTAACAGATTGAAGCATAGAAAAAGACAGGTGGCACTAGCATCATGAATATAGATTCCATGCATAAGCGTCTAAATTTCTCCTTAATTTCCTTTCTCTGGTCTCGCAACTGTTTACCAACATATTTCACATGGGCAAGTGATTTTGTCCTGAACAAATATATGGGCTCTATTAACTCCGACATGTGTTTACATTCTCAAGCTGCCACCTAATTTGCATATTCTTCTTCCATTGTGGTACCCACTCTAGGCTCAGACATTTAATTTGAAAAAATTATGGTCTTAATTTAATGTTTATGATTTAGTTTGAGGAAATGGGAGCCACATACGCTGCTTGGTTACCTCGTGAAAGTAGGATGCGATTGGCAAAAACCGTCAAATTTGGGTCAAGACTAATTCTGACCCAGTTTTAAGATACACTAATTCTGTTTTGAATCAAAAGTGACGAGATTAAAAAGACTAGTTTTAAGCTTTTTTTATTTTTTACCTTAAAAAAACTGGGCCAAAACTAGCACAGCTTTTGCAAACAAAAAAAAATGCAAAACTGGATCAGGTTCAGTCATGACCCATTTTTAAAGATTTGCCAACATTAATCCTAAGAATGTATTTGACAACTACAAAACCAAAGTAGGCTAATCTGGTTTCCCTTTAATTAGGCCAGAGTTTGTCCAAGTAAGGATTTGTCCGAAAAAGAACTAGCTTAAACACTAGATTTTTGAACTATAGTTTAACTTTGGTTCAATTATTGTCAAACTGAAAACTAACTTTTGGGTCAAAATTATATCTACTAAAACTAGTTTTGTGACTAGTTTTGTGCACCCTAAACTTCACTTCCCGTTCGATGCAAAGAAACTTTAGACATCAAATTAATTCTAATTTCTAAAATTGATCGTTGGAATAAACACTACAACAATGATACTTAGATATGCACCCGAAAGTACATATATTGGTAAAATAGAGCTAGCGTATATTCCAACTCTAAACAATCAAAATACATTTTGTCTTTCAAAGAGTAGGATCAATTGCAGCTCAAACCCATAATATAATATCGGAGGGCTCTATGTAACTACAGTGTTAGATTTTCCCACAAATTATTCATCTCAAATCGCAGTGCAGTCACGCGAACACCCATCTTTCATCATCACATGATCGCATCATTGATCCCACATAATTAAACTATCAATAAAATCACTATAGTACGATTAACCCACAAATTATATGCCACTCAATTATACCCTAATCTCCTAACAGTCATAACGGTACTAAGAACATAGAGAACAAAAGCAAACAGCATATATTCTCATATAAAAAGCCCCCACAAATAAACAAAAGAAAAGGAACCTGTACCATAATAACCCCAAATCTACATGAAACTACTACACTATACCTGATCATTATTACTCCCTAATCGCCAAATAACCTCCAACACCCTCCCCTCCTCCAGTCGGCCGCCGGGAAAATCAAACGGCAGCGGCGCGGACTCCGGTGTCGATGTTGACGAGCCTCTCGTTGCCGTGAACCCGTAAGCTCTCAGCACTTGATTGTCGGCAAAATTGAGGGCTTTCTGCATCCCCTCGAAGCAATTCTCCCCTGAGTAGAGCTTGTTGTGATCGCCACTGCAAGGCTGGCACCCCGTGAAATGAGTTATGAACGGCCTCCTCCACCCGTTAACCCCGCTCTTTAACCCTTCCCCTTCCAGAAACTCCTCTCTCAACCTCCCATAAGCCACTGAAACCTTCTCCGCTCTCCTCCTCCTCAGCCCCTTCACCTTCCTCTCAATCTCCAAGTACTTCTCCTCGATCTTCTCCAGCTTGTTCACGATCTCAACCCAATACCCCTCGAAGTAGAAGGAGCTCTCTAGGTAGATTTTGTCCCCCCATCTCTCCTTCTCCTTCAACAGCAGATACGCAATGCCGGTCTGGTCATCGCTCTCCGCGTACAGCTTGTCCTTGAAAACCGACCTCTGCACCGATCCCCACCGCTCATACTCCGGCGACTGCGGCCCCATCCTCGACCACCGATCGATGAAGTCGAGGGACCACTGGCAGTTCCGCATCAGGAACACACCAGCGTTCAGACTAGTCCAGCTCCTCGCCTCGTAAACCAAACGCGGCCACGTGTGAGACCGAGGATTAACGGCTCGTATTAAACTCTTTTTTTCCAGCGGGACGCTCGCAACTCCAATGTCGGTGATGCAGGCTCGGATCGCACCCAGCCAGAGCCACTCGCTTCCGGCGTGCGCGCCAGCCATGGACGGCGCCCCGCGACGACCGACTCTTGCCCCAAAAGCGAACATTTGCAGGCGGAGCAGCGCACCCGGAATAACCACGTTGTAGCAAGATGGTCGACGTCGTAAGCGACACTAGGGCTCAGCTTTTATTCTTGGTAGAAGGCGGACGAGGAGCTTGACGGCGCCCCTATCGGTTCCGGCCACCTGCCGGGTTGACCCGAGGGAGCATGAGCGATCTATTGGCCCGGCGTCAAGAAGGAAGGGCTTTCTGACATTGCGACCAGGGACTGGGCGCTTTCTGGTCCCAATCGGATGAGGGCGTCAAACGTGACGGTGAAGGAGAGGAATGCGCGTCGATTCCGTACAAACGGGAGCGGTGAGGTTCGAGTGGAGGTGGGTGGTAGGCGGCTGTCGGGGGGGTGGGTTCGTGTGGGAGGGGTTGAAAAGGGCGAGGCAGGGACGCACCACGTTTTCAATTTGAGGGAGGGGCGACGAGGACGGAGTAGGAAGTGGTCGAAATGAGCGAGGGCACGGCCCGCGCCCCGCCAAGAAGCCAGGAGGCCGTCGGAGACGATGGAGGAGCGGCTTGTGGGGGGGGCATTGGGGCCCATGCCGATGGAGGATGGGCGTGGTCAGGCGGAGAGGCGGGAGTTAGGGGGAGCGAGGGGGTTCAGTTTAATTGGGGGCTTTACATATTATTAAAAGGTCGACGGCGCGGCGCGTCTGAGAGAGAGTGACACCTGGAGATGGGGTGGGTTGCTAATTTTGGAAGAGAGCGAGGAAGAGACGGGAGGGGGAAGGAGATGAAAAGTAAAGAAGGAAGGGATGGACAAAGCGGGTCTTTAATGTAATGCTGTGCCAACGTCGGTGGTGGTGGGGAGAGAGAGAGAGAGAGAGAGAGAGAGACCGAGAGAAAGAAGAGAGAGAGGAAAGAGGAGAGGAGTGGTGCAAGGATTTGATTTTTGATTAGATTTTGTAGAGAAACCCTTGTATAATGATTTTTTGGTAGAACTAAGGTGTATTTTATTTCACATTTATGGGTAAATCAGATTTTGATCTCGTCCAATCATTTTTTTCCACCATTTCCCATGAAACCCAATCTTTACTTTTTTGTGTTTCCTTCACTTTTATAGAAAATGTTTCTTGTATTTGTTTCGCCAAAAAATATGGGCTGAAAGTATTTTCCACCACTTTTCTTAATTTGGTTCAACTTGAAAAAAGAATAAAACAATTGATGTGTGAATAGATTCTCTCACTTTATAGTGTTTAGTTCAAATGAAAAAAAAAAGAAGAAAGTTGACTATGGTCACCATGGTGTACTTACCACCCTTATAGCATAAATTTATTTTCAACATAAATTGAGAGGTGAACATATATCAACTGTCACATAAAAATATTTAAAATTTTAAGGGACTAATTTATAATTTTAAAAAAGTTTTGAGGTAGTGATTTGCAACATATTCAAAGATTTGAGGGGCTAATTCCAAAATCATATAATCATCTCATATAACGAAGAACCAAAATGCTCAATGAACAAGACATAATTGAATGTCATAACAACCAGTTGATTACAAGTACATCGATCGCTAGCATGTAAGATCCAAGACTGAATCAAGGCCGAAACCAACTCGAGAGAAACCAAGACTTGAACAACCCAAGATTGAAACCAAACCAAAACTTAACACAATTTATAGAAAATGTGCTCAGAAAATACCCTTTTCTTCATTATCTGCATCGCCATGAAGTTTATAATAGCAATGTTGGCTGCATTTATTGCCTCACCAATTGATTACTAGTATAAACTTTGGTTGCATATATTATATATCTAGCCATCATTATAGCATAATATCATATTATCAGTGTCATAACAGTCAATGCCAATAACTAAAACCAAGCATCATGTCATATAACCAGGAACAAACAACAAAACACCAAGTTATGAAAACCAGCATGTAATACGCAAATAGCCAGCACAAAGGAAACCAAACCAAGGCTGAAAGCAAGGCCGAGACTAACCAACCTTTATTAGAACTAACATGACCTAATTCTTATCTAACATAACGCTAACTAAGACTAGCATGACCCAAATAATGACTAATATGAATACGGCTAGAACTAACATGAGTGCATCTAGAACTAACATGGTGTAAATTAAAACTAACATAGAAGAAACTAGAACTAACATGGCATAAGTTAGAACTCACATGGCATAAATCAGAACTAGCATGACCCCAGGTAGAACTAACGTGACCTCAGTTAGAACTAACATGGGTGCAGAAACTAGAACTCACGTGGCATAAATCAGAACTAACATGACCCTAGGTAGATCTAAGATGAGCTCTGTTAGAAACTAACATGGGTGCAGCTAGAACTAGCACAATATAAATTAGAACTAAGACGTCATGAATTAGAACTCACATGACATAAATTTGAACTAACATGGACTACGATAGAACTAATATGACCTTTATTAGAACTAATGTGGCCCAATTCTGAACTAACATGAGATAGAACTAACCGACCTTTATTAGAACTAACGTGACCCAATTCTGAAGCCCAATTCTGAACTAACATGAGATAGAACTAACCGACCTTTATTAGAACTAACGTGACCCAATTCTGAACTAACATGACGCCAACTAAGACTATAGAACTAACCGACCTTTATTAGAACTAACGTGACCCAATTCTGAACTAACATGACGCCAACTAAGACTAGCATGACCTAAATATCTTAGTTAAGAAAAGCTCAACACTTAAGAAATTCAGAACTTGGATCTCAGTTAAGAAAAGCTTAACACTTAAGAAATGTGCTCAAAAAAGGCCATTTTCTTCATTATTTGCATCGCCATGAAGTTTATAATACTAATGTTGGTTGCATTTATTGCCTCGCCAATTAATTACTAGTATAAACTTTGGTTGCATACATTATATATCCGGCCATCATCATAGCATAATATCATATTATCAGTGTCATAACAGCCAATGCCAATAACTAAAAACCAAGCACTAGGTCATATAACCAGGAACTAACAACCAAGCACCAAGTTATGAATACCAGCATGTAATGCACAAATAGCCAGCACAAAGGAAGCCAAACCAAGGCTGAAAGCAAGGCCGAGGCTAACCGATCTTTATTAGAACTAACGTGACCCAATTCTTATCTAACATGATGCCAACTAAGACTAGCATGACCCAAATAATGACTAACATGAATACAGCTAGAACTAATATGAGCGCATCTAGAACTAACATGGTGTAAATTAAAACTAACATGGAAGAAACTAGAACTAATATCGCATAAATTAGAACTCGCATGACATAAATCAGAACTAGCATGACCCCAGGTAGAACTAACATGACCTTAGTTAGAATTAACATGTGTGCAAAAACTAGAACTCACATGGTATAAATCAGAACTAGCATGACCCCAGGTAGATCTAAAATGACCTCTGTTAAAACTAACATGGGTGCAGCTAGAACTACATCAATAAATGAAAGCCATAAAAACTAAATAAATAAAAAAGATTTGATTTTTAGGATTGTGCCACCATAAACCAACCAAGATCTTTCATTTTGCATAGTCATCAACTAATTTGGGTAAAAGATCTTGTCATTTTTTCCTTCTGTTTTAATCAGGGTTTCAATCAAGGCCTGACCGTTTCAAGGGAATATTGGTTGCGAACAAAAGGTGGACAACTCGGGGGGGAGGAGGTAAGGTGGTGGAGGGCGAGGGGGAGAAGGGTGTCGTCGGCGAGGACGGTGATGTCGACACTAAGGAAGGCTATGTCGATGCCGAAGAGAGCGTGGGTGGAGGGTAGGCCACGACGGGAGAAGAGGCCGAGCCCTATATTAGAAAGCTGATTCGGGAAAGTTGCGAACAAAAGGTGGATGACTCGGGGGGAGGAGGTGAGGTGGTGGAGGGAAGGGGAAGGAGGAAAATCTTGGTTGATTCGAGCGGGAGGGAGAGAGGGGTGACCAGAACGAGATGATAGAAGGGGATGGAGATTCAGACCTTTTTTACAGAGAGGGAAAGTTGTGTTATCCTCCGTAATCGAGCATTTTGGAGCTGAAATTTTTTGGGGAAAACTCTGGTGTGAGGCGCCACCTCTTTCCTTCACTTCTTTTTTATTTTTTGCCAACCAAACATTCAATTGTGAGGGAAAACAACAAATTTTCCCTGCGTCAGTTTTCTGATGGGCCACTTTCTGCCACTTTCTGCATTTTTTTGATGAAACAAACAGGCCCTAAACATCTAACTTTTCCCATGACACCCTGTAATTTTAACATTATCATTGTTGAGCCGTAATTTTTATTCGATATCAATTGCAATTATAAAGATTTGTGCTATGATTCTTGAACTATAAAAATGGCCTTCCAATTAAATAATTTGAATGATGAAAACATATTTTTAAAAAAAATAAACTAAGATTTATAATTTCACAAGGATCCAGTGGATAGTGACATTAAAATTTTAACCGATGTTGTAGTGNGTCTGCGATCGTAGGGGAAGCCCAAAGGTGTATCATCCGGCGCGTGTCAATCGGGGTGAGTCCTTCCGATCGAAGGGATGATGAGACCTCAATAAAAAAAATTGCAAGCTCTAACCTTAATCTCTGTACAAGGAAAAAAGATACAATTCTGTGAGAAAAGTTAGGGGTTCATTGGAAAAAAAAATTGAGGTTCAAGGGATTTGGAGAAATGAGTCGAAGTTTTATATGATTTTGTAAAATATCTATACTACTATATAAAAAATCAAGTATGGGTAGTCGAAAATTTGGATGAGGGGCAGACATGTCCTCATTTCCATTGTAATTCAAAAGGTAAAAATGTAATTTTATAAAGAAGATTTTTTTTTTCCCTTACCTTATTTTTCTCTTTCTTTGAGAACATATTCTGGACTATTCAACGACTTGAAAATAATATTAGAAGCCACATTTCTATTATACTTTATATTATAAATGATACAAAGTAAAAGTGATGACTTTTTTTCCTGAAATGGTATATACATCTAAAATGAA